CGGTCCCTCCTGCAGAAAAGCACCCCCACAGCATGATGCTGCCCCTCCTGTGCTTCACGGTTGGGATGGTGTTCTTCAGCTTGCAAGCAAACCCCCCTTTCCTCCAAACATAATGATAGTCATTATGGCCAAACAGTTCTATTTTTGTTTCATCAGACCAGAGGACATTTCTCCAAAAAGTAAGATATTTGTCCCCATGTGCAGTTGCAAACTGTAGTCTGGGTTTTTTATGGCGGTTTTGGAGCAGTGGCTTCTTCCTTGCTGAGCAGCCTTTCAGGTTATGTTGATATAGGACTTGTTTTACTGTGGATATAGATACTTTTGTACCTGTTTCTCCAGCATCTTCACAAGGTCCTTTGCTGTTGTTCTGGGATTGATTTGCACTTTACGCACCAAAGTACGTTCATCTCTAGGAGACAGAACGCGTCTCCTTCCTGAGCGGTATGACAGCTGCATGGTCCCATGGTGTTTATACTTGCGTACTATTGTTTGTACAGATGAACGTGGTACCTTCAGGCATTTGGAAATTGCTCCCAAGGATGAACCAGACTTGTGCAGGTCTACAGTTTTCTTTTCTGAGGTTTTGGCCTATTTCTTTTGATTTTCCCATGATGTCAAGCAAAGAGGCACTGAGTTTGAAGGTAGGCCTTGAAATACATCCACAGGTACACCTCCAATTGACTCAAATTATGTCAATTAGCCTATCAGAAGCTTCTAAAGCCATGACATCATTTTCTGGAATTTTCCAAGCTGTTTAAAGGCACAGTCAACTTAGTGTGTGTAAACTTCTGACCAACTGGAATTGTGATACAGTGAATTATAAGTGAAATAATCTGTCTGTAAACAATTGTTGGAAAAATTACTTGTGTCATGCACAAAGTAGATGTCCTAACCGACTTGCCAAAACTATAGTTTGTTTTTTTAATTGAAAAACGAGTTTTAATGACTCCAAACTAAGTGTATGTAAACTTCTGACTTCAACTGTATATAGGATTCGGACCATGAATAGGAAAGCGTGAGAGAGCTATCCCTGAATGAGGGATACCTGTCGATAGTCAATTGTACTAATCTTGAATTACTTTACGGGATAGAAGTAAGTTAAGGTATTATCAAATGTTGTCATTTTAATTTTGTTTATTATTTTGGTTTAATAGGCAATGTTGGTGTTTTGTTTTTGAAAGCATGAATCACGTTGTGAATCGTGTTCAAAAGGGGGTAGTACTGATGGTATGAGGATTTATTGGTTACATTTGCATATCGTAGTAAGAATATTAGCGGTAGTAATTAATGTGTTATGGGTTAGATTACATGTTTTAGGTGAAAATGTATTTGTGGTATAAGGTAGAATGTAGTGGAGGCATGTCTATGGAAAGAGTGGACTAATTTAAGCTGCAAGACTGTGCACTTCCTAATCAAGGATTATCCTGACTGATAAGAAGACAGGGTAAAGTAGCATACTGTGTCTCAACTAACAATGTTCTGCAGACTTTTTTTTCAAAAGGTGAAGGCTTCTTGGCAAGAACTAAGAGGAGAATCTGGGCATTTTCTGGGCATAGGAGACTGTGTGGCAGTAGAGGATTAAAGACGTAAGAGCTGGACAGAATCTAGGTGGAGTGGTTAGTACTAGTTGTTGCTGGCTACCTCAATGGCGGGGACAGTAGCAGAGAGAGATACCTGCATCTATTTGTCCCACTGTAGGAGGTAATCAAAATCAGAGGAGGAAGATGGAACTGCCACTGGGGAGCATTGTTTTTGTGTTTGTGTCTATGTCTGTGTGTTGTTATAGCAGTGAATCTTGAATTCCATATTGGTGCGATGCAAGAAGGACACACTACACAGAGCGACGTGAACAGAAATTGGGAAGTATATTAGAAATTTGTTTTAAGAATAATTGTTAAAACATAATAATTTGTCATATGGTAAATGTTTTTAATGGATTTAGAAATGAAATCAATTAAAATGTTATGTTTGTCTTCTAGTGAGGTAAATACAGATGGTGTCTTGATGCATAGCAGGGATCATTTGGCCTAGAATGGTGTGAACTTAAATAAAAGTAACAACCTATGAAACGGCTGAAGATGAATATCAGAGGCGTTGAAGATATTTTGTAAAGCACCACTTCTACATGCAACTGGTGTACAACAACCAATCGAAGCTATCAATGGATTTTGTCCTCTGTAGCTCAATTGGAAGAGCATGGCGCTTGTAACGCCAGAGTAGTGGGTTCGATCCCCGGGACCACCCATACGTAAAAATGTATGCACACATGACTGTAAGTCGCTTTGGATAAAAGCGTCTGCTAAATAGCATATTATTTTTATTTATTTTCTCATGTTTTTATCTCAAAGGAGTGGGAAAGGAGTCCACCATTAAGTGAGAATGGAGAAATATATGTTCAGATACAACATTTCTAATGAGGTTGTGGAGTTGGTGGTGACTCGAATGAGACAATGTAGTTGTGATATTGTCATGGGCAAGTCGTTTTGAAATGTGAAGATATCTGAAGAACATAATGAAGAGACGCCAGAAGATTTAAGGGCAGGGAGAAATAAAGAGGTTGCTTAGCTGTGTTGATAATAAAGTGGGGTTTATATACATTTGCTAATTTGGGTAGTAGGTATATACACTGCTATACACTGCTAAATTAATATTATTAAGAATGCATTGAGATAATGATCTGTATTTATTATCAGGATGAGGAAAGTCATGATTGAATTATGGATATTTATACTGTATGTTATTATAAGTGTACATTCTGACAGTTGTAATGGGTGATACAGTTGAGGGTTTTAATTTTCATTGATAAAGTGAATCAATAAGGATTGTCATTTTACATTTGGTTGAGTTAAGTCATTTGGTTTTGGGTTATAATTTATAAGATGACTGAATTATTTAAGTAAATCATTAGTATGTATTAGTATAAATATTTTCAAAATGAAGGATATTGATTGTACAATTTAGAACTGTCCTATATAGTTATTATGGGTTAAAACAGTGAAACATTATGTTACTGTCTTAGGATACACTTATATTATATATTTCGGTTAGACATTGTTGAATCATAATGTTTGACACATGGAAGTTAATGTGAGGATTGTGACTGAAATCATGAATATGTTGATTCATTGGGTTAATATAGTCACAGATTAGTCATTATATACATTTGAAGTATTGGGTGATATTGATATGGATGTTTAGAGTGGTAAATATCTATGTTGCTAGGCAAGTACTTAATTGGTTCCTATCGTGGGGTTATGCTATTTTCATATGATCTGATTTTGGTTGAATTATTAAAGCAGGAATAGTTTAGGGATGTAATGATTTAACAGGGAGTGAAAATAGAGTGTTATAATGTGTATCTATCTCAGGAATAATAGGAGAACAAAGTCGGAGTTGAACATTGTATCTTTTAACAATCATGGGTTTTCAAGCAATTGGGTCTGAGATGTCACTCATTAGACTATGTAAGTGATAAACACATAGCATTGAATGCTATTATAGTAAATAAAGAGGGAATGTATGTGATTATATGGGGGATACATGTTGGCCATCAAGATTAGGAAGGTCTTGGGAATTTAACTAAAGATATGGGAAATATTAGAGACATGCAGGAAGGCATTAAGAGTAATCATTCTTAATATATATCATGTTATTGCAGTTTAGAGTCCATTGATAATGTTGAATGGGGAATGTTAAGTTGGAAATGTATAACGTGGATTTTAAGGTTTACAGGATTGAAGATGTGGAAAGAAGCCTATATCAGTCGATCAGATAGTGCCCCATGTGACCAGGGAAAAGCTTGGGGTTCCTCTAACGGAACATGGATGAAGAAGACTGAAGTAATTTTATTTTGATATATTCATTTGAATATATTGTAATATCCATGTAACTTAGCAAGTGTCATGGATCTTTGTATTTGTGGGGATGATGTCATGATGGTCACAATTTAGAGTTAGTAGATAGGTGGCTTGGTGCCACAGAGTCTGCATTCCTTATGTCAAAGGAGATTACTGATGTTGATTTTAGAATGAGTAATGGACAGGATATATGACTTGGGGGTAAAGAGTAATAACATCAGAGAAGGGAGTGCCCACTGATGGGTACCAGATGTTCGTGAAGAAACTTGTAACAGAGTGTATATAAGCTGAGGGATCTCTTTGTTATGGAGTTGGAAGATGACAGAGGCAAGGATATGTCCTTATTCTGTTATAACTAACCATGGTACCATATTAAATATATTATATGAACTCCCCATCAAAAGTGTCAAAGTACATCCTTACATTCGTAATCACTTGATACCCTAGAAACTCATCATAACAAGACCCAAGGACAAATTTCCACCGGTCTAATGTCCATTGCTCGTGTTTCTTGGCCCAAGCAGGTCTCCTTTTCTTATTGGTGTCCTTTTAGTAGTGGTTATTTGGCAGCAATTCGACCATGAAGGCCTGATTCACACAGACCCCTCTGAACAGTTGATGTTGATGTGTCTGTGACTTGAACTCTGTGAAGCATTTATTTGGGCTGCAATTTCTGAGGTTTGTAACTCTAATGAACTTATCCTCTGCAGCAGAGGTAACTCTGGGTCTTCCATTCCTGTGGCGGTCCTCATGAGAGCTAGTTTCATCATAGTGCTTGATGGTTTTTGCGACTGCACTTGAAGAAACTTTAAAAGTTCTTGAAATGTTCCGCATTGACTGACCTTCATGTCTTAAAGTAATGATGGACTGTCGTTTCTCTTTGCTTATTTGAGCTGTTCTTGCCATAATATGGACTTGATCTTTTACCAAATAGGGCTATCTTCTGTATAGCCCCTCCTACCTTGTCACAGCACAACTGATTGGCTCAAACGCATTAAGAAGGAAAGAAATTCCACAAATTAACTTTTAAGAAGGTAACCCTGTTAATTGAAATGCATTCCAGGTGACTACCTCATGAAGCTGGTTGAGAGAATGCCAAGAGTGTGCAAAGGTGTCATCAAGGCAAAGGGTGGCTAGTTTGAAGAATCTCAAATGTAAAATATATATAGATTTGTTTAACACTTCTTTTGGTTACTACATGATTCCATATGTGTCATTTCATAGTTTGGATGTCTTCACTATTATTCTACAATGTAGAAAATAGTAGAAATAAAGAAAAACCCTTGAATGAGTAGGTGTGTCCAAACTTTTGACTGGTAGTGTACATAAAAACAAAGACGAGGTACCTGGGTGAGGTGTTGTGGTGGACATTGCGTTGGGTGTGGGCCATTCAAAGTCATCCTCAAGCCACTGGTTCACCATCTCCTGCTTAGTGTCTTTATTCCTGGTAGAGGAGGGTAGAGGAGAGGAGTAGAGGAGGGGAGGGGATGGGGAGGGGAGAGGAGGGGAGGGTAGAGGAGAGGAGGGGGAGGGGAGGGGAGGGGGAGGGTAGGGTAGGGGAGAGGAGGGGAGGGGAGGGGAGATGCAAAAATATTGAGTATTTTTACTTTACGACAAAATGAATTTCTTCATTGAAAATACAATAATCAATCTTTCTCTACTCTCTATCATTCTACTCCTCCTTCATCTCATCTCATCCCCATCTACCTCTTTTCCTTTTTCTTGTTCACCACCAGGAGCGCTATCAGGACTCCAACCATCACCAGGACAACCCCGGCAGTTACACTGATTCCGGTGTATAACCCAGTCTTGTGGATCGGGTAGTTACAGTCCGTCAGGTACCAGATTGAGTCTGTGTTTTTACAGCTGAAATAGACAGGACATATAGCTTTATTCTACTGTGAGGAAGTGGTGACCAAATCAAACTGTAGCAATGAATGGAATTCGCCCCAAAGGTTTACAATATATACAGTATTATATATAATTAATATTATAGGAGAGAATATATATCTCCTCTCCTTTAATATAACATTATATATAACATACATATATAATTATCTAGTATACTGAATATAAAGTTTAGAACTTACTAGCATGACGGTCCGGATCTGGTTACTACACATTTACCGCTGTTGCAGTTTTTATGGTTATTATGTCTGGAGTCACATGCCGTCACACAGAAATACTCCCCATCTTTACTGTAAGACTCAAAGTATTTAGCAATATCAGGGTTGATTGTTTGTTGACATACAGCTGTGAGAGAGAGAGAGAGAGAGCGAGAGAGAGAGAGAGAGAGAGAGAGAGAGAGAGAGAGAGAGAGAGAGAGAGAGAGAGAGAGAGAGAGAAATATTTGTTATATCTTTAATTTCCTTCTTGCTCTGGTCTAAACTCTTATTTTGTTAATGAGGGAATATTTCCCCTATCTGCTGCACCATTGTTCCCTTCCTCCCCTTTCCTCCTGCTTCCTCTAGTCTTCCGTCTGTATGTTCTCACCTTCGCCATCGACTGCTATTTCTTTTGGTTCAGCTGAGAAAACACTAAATGTAGGACAACCTGAGGGAAGAGGTCAAAAAATATGTTAACTGAACCACTGCAGAATTTACTCTTATTGTCTTAACAATGGTAGTTTGATTCGAATTGGTGTGTGTATTATGAGGGTGTGTTTTTAGATGTGACTTTATATTGTTGTTACCTGATTCGCTTGAAGTACAGTGTTTTAATGTTTCCAAAGCTGAAGAAATGTTTTTAAAGGAGTTGTTATACTTTTCCTCAGCTCCTGCTTCATTCGGAACCACCAGAATGATATTGTGTTTGACCTTCAAACTAAAGAAAGGAGGTTGAGTAAAAGTCTTTGAGGCTATTTTGCACTTAAAGAAACACTCCGGAACTTCTGTTTCTTCCCACAGTGAGGCCTAACATTTGTTTTTTTTGTAAACTGAGGGCTTGGTCTTGGCAAATCCAACTACCACTAACCTATTTGAATTCTGTGGTAACCAGGGTTGGGGTCAATTCCATTTCAGTTAAAGTTAAATCAGAAAGTTAAACCAATTCCATATTTTCCTAATGGAAAAGTATTGAAGAATTTCAGTGTACATATATCTGAATTAACTGAAAATCAAATGGAATTAACCCCAACCCTGGTGGTAACCAACCATCACCAAAGTTGAAAGGTGTTTATGCATCATAGACCTATTAATGAATCACTTATTTAAATTACCGATTTGTTATTTCCTTGGGGTTGTGCATGGGGTTTCCCATCTGTAAAGCAAGCATCACAGAGCAAAACAACATAAATATCAGCATTAAAAATGATTATACAGTATGAATAAGAATGTAAGAGATTCTCTTCGTCCTTTACATTGACCCTTTTCTCCTCTATACGACGTCCTGAGCGTTTGGAGATAGCTGACCCCTCACTGTCAGAACAAAAATAAGGAAGATCAATGAGATCATCTCTGCAAAATCTTTGTTTACATTTTCATATAACCTCATGACAACGTGGACAGGTCTTTATATTGTCAATAGATCACCTTTATATAATATAAGGGGTAGGATAGGATACGGGGTGAAATTGTAATTTTGCAAATATGTACCGTGGTGTTTTTGGTATGCTAGTCTAGTACCTCAAAGTTACGTTTTCCACACTGAAATTCTGTATCCTTTGATTGTAGTATGTCGTCATCTGAAATGTAAACAGTGATCACTGCATATTCACGAAGACTTAAGATAAAATGACTCAACCCCCATGGCATCTGTGGTAATTAAATAGAAAATCACCTGCTGTCTTAAACAGCAGTTCTTCTTTTTTTATTGATCCACATTACTTTACAAATCTTTAATTTTACTTAAATGTATTTAACACTTTAATTGATTAGTGTTTTATCTTATTTAACATACATTAGTGTTTTATCTTACCTCTGTTGTGAAAGTCTTCACCTTCGCAATGTATTCCGCTGAAGTTTTGTCATTATATTCTGTTATGTATGTGTCCTCAGTTTCCATATTAACCTCTACTGCCCTATTGAGCGTACCTACAAGAAGACCAAGTGACAAAATTAGTGAATGCGTTATAACCAGTTGACAACTAAAATAGATGAAGTACTATTTCTAATATATTATGCTTTCTAAGTTATCAAAGTGAAAGCAATCAAAGTCTTGTATTCATCACTGATCTATTTAATTTGCTGTAATTATTAATCAAAGGAAAAGTAGGATCTCAGGGCTGTTTTGGTTTTGCAAATTGTTTTTGTTGTACAAAATGTCTCACATACCTGGCACTATGTTAGTTTTGACATCTCTGCAGGTTTCCCCCTCGAAGTCAGTAGGACAGAGGCAAGACTGGCCATTAGGACCTGGTGTACCTCCATTCTCACACTGAATTGGTTGCTTAGTGGTGGTGGCAATAGTAGAAGGAGTAGTAGGAGAAGTTGTAATTGGCACAGTTGGTTTGGCTGTAGTTCCAGGATCAGGTGTCCCTGGTTTGGCTGTAGTTCCAGGATCAGGTGTCCCTGGTTTGGCTGTAGTTCCAGCATCTGGTGTGCCTGGTTTGGCGGTAGTTCCAGCATCAGGTGTGCCTGGTTTGGCTGTAGTTCCAGCATCAGGTGTGCCTGGTTTGGCGGTAGTTCCAGCATCAGGTGTGCCTGGTTTGGCGGTAGTTCCAGCATCTGGTGTGCCTGGTTTGGCTGTAGTTCCAGCATCAGGTGTGCCTGGTTTGGCTGTAGTTCCAGCATCAGGTGTGCCTGGTTTGGCTGTAGTTCCAGCATCAGGTGTGCCTGGTTTGGCGGTAGTTCCAGCATCAGGTGTGCCTGGTTTGGATGTAGTTCCAGCATCTGGTGTGCCTGGTTTGGCTGTAGTTCCAGCATCAGGTGTGCCTGGTTTGGATGTAGTTCCAGCATCAGGTGTTCCTGGTTTCGCTGTAGTTCCAGCATCAGGTGTGCCTGGTTTGGCTGTAGTTCCAGCATCTGGTGTGCCTGGTTTGGCTGTAGTTCCAGCATCAGGTGTGCCTGGTTTGGCTGTAGTTCCAGCATCAGGTGTGCCTGGTTTGGCTGTAGTTCCAGCATCAGGTGTGCCTGGTTTGGCGGTAGTTCCAGCATCAGGTGTGCCTGGTTTGGCGGTAGTTCCAGCATCAGGTGTGCCTGGTTTGGCGGTAGTTCCAGCATCTGGTGTGCCTGGTTTGGCGGTAGTTCCAGCATCAGGTGTGCCTGGTTTGGCGGTAGTTCCAGCATCTGGTGTGCCTGGTTTGGCGGTAGTTCCAGCATCAGGTGTGCCTGGTTTGGCTGTAGTTCCAGCATCAGGTGTGCCTGGTTTGGCTGTAGTTCCAGCATCAGGTGTGCCTGGTTTTGCGGTAGTTCCAGCATCAGGTGTGCCTGGTTTGGCGGTAGTTCCAGCATCAGGTGTGCCTGGTTTGGCGGTAGTTCCAGCATCAGGTGTCCCTGGTTTGGCGGTAGTTCCAGCATCAGGTGTGCCTGGTTTGGCTGTAGTTCCAGCATCAGGTGTGCCTGGTTTGGCTGTAGTTCCAGCATCAGGTGTGCCTGGTTTTGCGGTAGTTCCAGCATCAGGTGTGCCTGGTTTGGCAGTAGTTCCAGCATCAGGTGCCTGTTTGGCGGTAGTTCCAGCATCAGGTGTCCTGGTTGGCGGTAGTTCCAGCATCAGGTGTGCCTGGTTTGGCGGTAGTTCCAGCATCAGGTGTGCCTGGTTTGGCTGTAGTTCCAGCATCAGGTGTGCCTGGCTTGGCGGTAGTTCCAGCATCAGGTGTGCCTGGTTTGGCGGTAGTTCCAGCATCAGGTGTGCCTGGTTTGGCTGGTAGTTCCAGCATCAGGTGTGCCTGGTTTGGCTGTATCCGCATGGTGTGCTGGTTGGCTAGTTCCAGCATCAGGTGTGCCTGGTTTGGCTGTAGTTCCAGCATCAGGTGTGCCTGGTTTGGCTGTAGTTCCAGCATCAGGTGTGCCTGGTTTGGCTGTAGTTCCAGCATCAGGTGTGCCTGGTTTGGCTGTAGTTCCAGCATCAGGTGTGCCTGGTTTGGCTGTAGTTCCAGCATCAGGTGTGCCTGGTTTGGCTGTAGTTCCAGCATCAGGTGTGCCTGGTTTGGCGGTAGTTCCAGCATCAGGTGTGCCTGGTTTGGCTGTAGTTCCAGCATCAGGTGTGCCTGGTTTGGCTGTAGTTCCAGCATCAGGTGTGCCTGGTTTGGCTGTAGTTCCAGCATCAGGTGTGCCTGGTTTGGCTGTAGTTCCAGCATCAGGTGTGCCTGGTTTGGCTGTAGTTCCAGCATCAGGTGTGCCTGGTTTGGCTGTAGTTCCAGCATCTGGTGTGCCTGGTTTGGCGGTAGTTCCAGCATCAGGTGTGCCTGGTTTGGCTGTAGTTCCAGCATCAGGTGTGCCTGGTTTGGCTGTAGTTCCAGCATCAGGTGTGCCTGGTTTTGGCGGTAGTTCCAGCATCAGGTGTGCCTGGTTTGGCTGTAGTCCAGCATCAGGTGTGCCTGGTTTGGCTGTAGTTCCAGCATCAGGTGTGCCTGGTTTGGCGGTAGTTCCAGCATCAGGTGTGCCTGGTTTGGCGTGGTAGTTCCAGCATCAGGTGTGCCTGGTTTGGCTGTAGTTCCAGCATCAGGTGTGCCTGGTTTGGCGGTAGTTCCAGCATCTGGTGTGCCTGGTTTGGCGTAGTTCCAGCATCAGTGTGCCTGGTTTGGCTGTAGTTTCCAGCATCAGTGTGTGCCTGGTTTGGCTGTAGTTCCAGCATCTGGTGTGCCCTGGTTTGGCGGTAGTTCCAGCATCAGGTGTGCCTGGTTTGGCTGTAGTTCCAGCAGCAGGTGTGCCTGGTTTGTGCTGAGTTCCAGCATCTGGTGTGCCTGTTTGGCGGTATTCCAGCATCAGGTGTGCCTGGTTTGGCTGTAGTTCCAGCATCAGGTGTGCCTGGTTTGGCGGTAGTTCCAGCATCAGGTGTGCCTGGTTTGGCTGGTAGTTCCAGCATCATGTGTCCCTGGTTTGGCTGTAGTTTCCAGCATCAGGTGTGCCTGGTTTGGCTGTAGTTTCCAGCATCAGTGTGCCTGGTTTGGCGGTAGTTCCAGATCAGGTGTGCCTGGTTTGGCTGTAGTTCCAGCATCAGGTGTGCCTGGTTTGGCTGTAGTTCCAGCATCAGGTGTGCCTGGTTTGGCTGTAGTTCCAGCATCATGGTGTGCCTGGTTTGGCTGGTAGTTCCAGCATCAGGTGTGCCTGGTTTGGCTGTAGTTCCAGCATCAGGTGTGCCTGGTTTGGCTGTAGTTCCAGCATCAGGTGTGCCTGGTTTGGCTGTAGTTCCAGCATCAGGTGTGCCTGGTTTGGCTGTAGTTCCAGCATCAGGTGTGCCTGGTTTGGCGTGTAGTTCCAGCATCAGGGTGCCTGGTTTGGCTGTAGTTCCAGCATCAGGTGTGCCTGGTTTGGCTGTAGTTCCAGCATCAGGTGGTGCCATGGTTTGGCTGTAGTTCCAGCATCTGGTGTGCCTGGTTTGGCTGTAGTTCCAGCATCAGGTGTGCCTGGTTTGGCTGTAGTTCCAGCATCAGGTGTGCCTGGTTTGGCTGTGTTCCAGCATCAGGTGTGCCTGGTTTGGCTGTAGTTCCAGCATCAGGTGTGCCTGGTTTGGCTGTAGTTCCAGCATCAGGTGTGCCTGGTTTGGCGTAGTTCCAGCATCAGGTGTGCCTGGTTTGGCTGTAGTTCCAGCATCAGGTGTGCCTGGTTTGGCTGTAGTTCCAGCATCAGGTGTGCCTGGTTTGGCTGTAGTTCCAGCATCAGGTGTGCCTGGTTTGGCTGTAGTTCCAGCATCAGGTGTGGCCACTGGCTGGTTTGGCTGTAGTTCCAGCATCAGGTGTGCCTGGTTTGGCTGTAGTTCCAGCATCAGGTGTGCCTGGTTTGGCGTGTAGTTCCAGCATCAGGTGTGCCTGGTTTGGCTGTAGTTCCAGCATCAGGTGTGCCTGGTTTGGCTGTAGTTCCAGCATCTGGTGTGCCTGGTTTGGCTGTAGTTCCAGCATCAGGTGTGCCTGGTTTGGCTGTAGTTCCAGCATCGGTGGTGTGCCTGGTTTGGCTGTAGTTCCAGCATCAGGTGTGCCTGGTTGCTGTAGTTCCAGCATCTGGTGTGCCTGGTTTGGCGGTAGTCCAGCATCAGGTGTGCCTGGTTTGGCATGTAGTTCCAGCATCAGGTGTGCCTGGTTTTGGCTGTAGTTCCCAGATCAGGTGTGGCTGGTTTGGCTGTAGTTCCAGCATCAGGTGTGCTGGTTTGGCTGTAGTTTCCAGCATCAGGTGTGCTGGTTTGGGCTGTAGTTCCAGCATCGGGTGCCTGGTTGGCGGTAGTTCCAGCCTCAGGTGTGCCTGGTTTGGCAGTAGTTCCAGCATCAGGTGTGCCTGGTTTGGCTGTAGTTCCAGCATCGGTGTGCCTGGTTTGGCGGTAGTTCCAGCATCCGGTGGGCCTGGTTTGGCTGTAGTTCCAGCATCAGGTGTGCCTGGTTTGGCGTTGTTCCAGCATCAGGTGTGCCTGGTTTGGCTGTAGTTCCAGCATCTGGTGTGCCTGGTTTGGCTGTAGTTCCAGCATCAGGTGTGCATGGTTTGGCTGTAGTTCCAGGCATCATGGTGGCCTGGTTTGGCTGTAGTCCAGCATCTAGGTGTGCCTGGTTGGCTGTAGTTCCAGCATCAGGTGTGCCTGGTTTGGCGTGTAGTTCCAGCATCAGGTGTGCCTGGTTTGGCTGTAGTTCCAGCATCAGGTGTGCCTGGTTTGGCTGTAGTTCCAGCATCAGGTGTGCCTGGTTTGGCTGTAGTTCCAGCATCAGGTGTGCCTGGTTTGGCTGTAGTTCCAGCATCAGGTGTGCCTGGTTTGGCTGTAGTTCCAGCATCTGGTGTGCCTGGTTTGGCGTAGTTCCAGCATCAGGTGTGCCTGGTTTGGCTGTAGTTCCAGCATCAGGTGTGCCTGGTTTGGCTGTAGTTCCAGCATCGGTGTGCCTGGTTTGGCTGTAGTTCCAGCATCAGGTGTGCCTGGTTTGGCTGTAGTTCCAGCATCAGGTGTGCCTGGTTTGGCTGTAGTTCCAGCATCAGGTGTGCCTGGTTTGGCTGTAGTTCCAGCATCTGGTGTGCCTGGTTTGGCTGTAGTTCAGCATCAGGTGTGCCTGGTTTGGCTGTAGTTCCAGCATCAGGTGTGCCTGGTTGGCTGTAGTTCCAGCATCAGGTGTGCCTGGTTTGGCTGGTAGTTCCAGCATCAGGTGTGCCTGGTTTGGCTGTAGTTCCAGCATCGGTGTGCCTGGTTTGGCTGTAGTTCCAGCATCAGGTGTGCCTGTTTGGCTGTAGTTCCAGCATCGGTGTGCCTGGTTTGGCGTAGTTCCAGCATCAGGTGTGCCTGGTTTGGCTGTAGTTCCAGCATCGGTGTGCCTGGTTTGGCTGGTAGTTCCAGCATCAGGTGTGCCTGGTTTGGCTGTAGTTCCAGCATCAGGTGTGCCTGTTGGCTGTGTTCCAGCATGGTGTGCTGGTTGGCTGTAGTTCCAGCATCTGGTGTGCTGGTTTGGGTAGTCCGCATGGTGTGCCTGGTTTGGCTGTAGTTCCAGCATCAGGTGTGCTGGTTTGGCTGTAGTTCCAGCATCGGTGTGCCTGGTTGGCTGTAGTTCCAGCATCGGTGTGCCTGGTTGGCGTAGTTCCAGCATCAGGTTTGGCTGTAGTTCCAGCATCAGGTGTGCCTGGTTTTGCTGTAGTTCCAGCATCAGGTGTGCCTGGTTTGACTGTAGTTCCAGCATCAGGTGTGCCTGGTTTGGCTGTAGTTCCAGCATCTGGTGTGCCTGATTTGGCGGTAGTTCCAGTATCAGGTGTGCCTGGTTTTTCTGTAGTTCCAGCATCAGCTGTGCCTGGTTTGGCTGTAGCTCTTACAGGGCTTTCTGTAGATGCCAGTGGGGTAGTGCTTGCAGAAACTGCAGTAAAAACAGAAATCACAGTAAGCTTTATTTACAATGATTTCTATTGCTACATAGTTTTATATGACTTACAGTACCAGTCAAAAGTTTGGACACACCTAATCATTCAAGGTTTTTTTTTTTTTTTTAAGTATGAAATAACACATATGGAATGATGTAGTAACCAAAAAAGGGTTAAACAAATATTGATTTTAATATATATTTTAGATTTTAGATTCTTCAAAGCAGCCACCCTTTGCCTTGATGACAGCTCTGCACACCCCCACACCATCACACCTCCTCCTCCATGCTTCATGGTGGGAACCACACATGCGGAGATCATCCGTTCACTTACTCTGCGTCTCACAATTACATTTACATTTACATTTTAGTCATTTAGCAGACGCTCTTATCCAGAGCGACTTACAGTTAGTGAATGCATACATTTTTTATTTTATTTTTCCTACCCCCTGTGGGAATCGAACCCACAACCCTGGCGTTACAAACGCCATGCTCTATCAACTGAGCTACATCCCTGCCGGACATTCCCTCCCCTACCCTGGACGACGCTGGGCCAATTGCGCGCCGCCCCATGGGTCTCCCGGTCGCGCCGGCTACGACAGAGCCTGGATTCGAAGCAGGATCTCTAGTGGCACAGCTAGCACTGCGCTGCAGTGCCTTAGACCACTGCGCCACTCGGGAGACTACACGGCGATTGTAACCAACATTTTCAAATTTGTACTCATCAGACCAAAGGACAGATTCCCACCGGTCTAACGTCCATTGCTCGTGTTTCTTGGCCCAAGCAGGTCTCTTCTTCCTATTGGTGTCCTTTAGTAGTGGTTTCTTTGCAGCAATTTGACCATGAAGGCCTGATTCACACAGTCTCCTCTGAACAGTTGATGTTGAGATGTGTCTGTTACTTGAACTCTGTGAAGCATTTATTTGGGCTGCAATTTCTGAGGCTGGTAACTCTAATGAACTTATCCTCTGCAGCAGAGGTAACTCTGGGTCTTCCATTCCTGTGGCGGTCCTCATGAGAGCCTTTTCCATCATAGCGCTTGATGGTTGTTGCGACTGCACTTGAAGAAACTTTCAAAGTTCTTGAGATTTTCCGTATTGACTGACCTTCATGTAGTAAAGTAATGATGGTCTGTCGTTTCTCTTTGCTCATTTGAACTGATCTTGCCATAATATGGACTTGGTCTTTTACCAATTAGGGCTATCTTCTGTAACCCCCCTACCTTGTCACAACACAACTGATTGGCTCAAACGCATTAAAAAGGAAATAAATTCCACAAAATAACTTTTAAGAAGGCACACCTAATTGAAATGCATTCCAGGTGACCACCTCATGAAGCTGGTTGAGAGAATACCAAGAGTGTGCAAAGTTGTCATCAAGGAAAAGGTTGGCTATTTGAAGAATCTCAAATATACAATATATTTTGATTTGTTTAACACTTTTTTTGGTTACTACATGATTCCATTAGTGTTATTTAATAGTTTTGACGTCTTCACTGTTATTCTACAATGTAGAAAATAGTAAAAATAAAGAAAAACCCTTGAATGAGTAGGTGTTCTAAAACGTTTGACCGATAGTGTATATAAATTATGACAGAAGGAGAAGTGTATCCCCTCAACAAAATAGTTTCTGGATAATATCCAACTTCCAGCTATTTCCTCCCCAGACCGGAACTACTTAGATATTCCACTAATGCTGTGAGGTAAAGTGCCTGGTTAGGTTGAATAATTCCCAATATTTCTAAATATGGTTATTTAGAAATAACTTCCATTGCGCTAATGACCTTCCGCATACCATGAACACCGCCTTAATCACTCTCCTACTCTAATAATAAAAATATTCCGATTTCTTTGATTAACACAGATGTAAAAAAAAAAAAAAAAACTATATCCAGCAGATTAGATACGGTACTTCCCAAAATAATACATTCCAATCAAACAGGTTTTATGAAAGGCAGACACTCTTCAGACAACACCATCATGCATTTTGCCTCCCAAACCAATTTTCCTACCGCAGGACTAATGTTGGATGCAGAGATGGCATCCAGTATGAAGGAAATTAGAGGTAGTTTTGTGAGCCAATGCTAACTAGCATAAGTGCAATGTCTGGAAGTCTGTGGTATCTACTAGCATGGTAGAGGGCCTAAGATCTAACAAACAGTTATTCTTGATAGTTCAGAACAAAATAAGGCAGAGAAATATAGATAGTAATAATAAAAGTAACAGATACTGGTTACACACTCACATTCAAATCACCAAAAAGATAGGTGAGATCGAGCTGCATACTCTTACGTATATCCTGTCTGGAACCATAACGTAGTCCAACGTGTGTGGTCGCACAGATACCAAACAACATACTTTTCCTTGGACAAGTGAGGGTAATACGTCATCCACATTCTAAATACAAGGTGTTATTATATACACATCTCAACACTTTTAACCATGTCATTTAAAGTCTGTTTACATTGCTTCCTTGAGGAAATTAGTTTTTGAGGCACTTTGTTCAGTTCGTTGCTTTCCAATGGAGAAGCTCCTTTACTGAGCTGTAGTCATCCTCAGTCTTCATCGGGACCCTGCTGAGTCTCAGTCTTCATCGGGACCCTGCTGAGTCTCAGTCTTCATCGGGACCCTGCTGAGTCTCAGTCTTCATCGGGACCCTGCTGAGTCTCAGTCTTCATCGGGACCCTGCTGAGTCTCAGTCTTCATCGGGACCCTGCTGAGTCTCAGTCTTCATCGGGACCCTGCTGAGTCAGTCTTCATCGGGACCCTGCTGAGTCTCTGACCTTAATGCTGATAGGAGAAGCTTTGAAGTAAACAGGAAGAGAAGGTAAAGGGAGAAGGGTTCCTGCATGTTCCCCCTCTGTGCTCTCTAGCTGGGGGTTTATCCTTGTCTTCTGTTGGATGTGTTGGTGCGTCACTGCTCTACACTATTACCTACAGCTGAAAATAACTTTGGGTGAATTTAGTTTGGTGGTCACTCACCGGGATCCTTTGTTTGAACTTCCAGAAGCAGTTCTTATTCATCCCAAAATTCTGACGCCGAAGAAGAGGAAGAAGAAGTGGGTCAGACTCAGAACCAGCACATTTAACCAAGAGGACTGGGAACATGGACGTGCGTAAACAGACCAGCTATGACCTCCACAAGGAAATCAAAGAGGCACAACATCAGTACAGGGACAAAGTGGAGTCACAATTCATTGGCTCAATTACAGATTATAAAGGGAAAGCCAGCCATGACATGACCACGACGCCGCGGACACGACGCCGCGGACACGACGCCGCGGACACGACGCCGCGGACACGACGCTGTGGACACGGACAAACTAAACGCCTTCTTCGCCCACTTTGAGTAAAACAACATTGTGCCTCCGCCGCGGGCCCCGCCGCTCACGAGGACTGTGTGCTCTCGTTCTCCGTGGCCGACGTAAGTCATTTAAGAGTGTTAACCCTCGCAAGGCTGCCGGCCCAGACGGCATCTCTAGCCGCGTCCTCAGAGCATGTGCAGACCAGCTGTCTGGAGTGTTTACGGACACATTCAATCTCTCCATATCCCATTATGTTGTCTCCACTTGCTTCAAGATGTCCACCATTGTTCCTGTACCCAAGAAAGTGAAGGTAACTGAACTAAATTACTATCACCCCGTAGCATTCACTTCTGTCATCATGAAGTGCTTTGAGAGGCTAGTTAAGGATCATGTCACCTCCACCTTACTCGACAACCTAGACTCACTACAATTTGCATACCGCTCCAACAGATCCACAGACAACGCAATCTACAGCACCTGGTGACACAGGAAGGCCAAGAAGATCAACGAGGACCTGTTACTAGCCGGCTACCACTCGGTACTCTACCCTGCACCTTAGAGACTGCTTCCCTATGTAGATGCCCTATGTGCATAAGTCTCATCTCACTCAACAAATAGCTGCAGATGACCTTATGCCTGTTAGCTCTTTCATTGGCGGCTTGGGTTAATGCACTTAAATGTGTGAAGTATGATTTATTTATTTTTTACACAATTCACATTTGGGTACAGGACTCGTGTCCTGACATTCTGGTTTCTTTCAGAAACATGGTTAAATGGTTTAGTCTCTGATAAAGACATTGAAGTAAACGATTATCATGACAGATTACAGAAAGGGGGAGGAGTGGCCATATATGTCAAATCTAATTTCATGGCATTCCAATCTTTAAGTATTTCTGTACCCAAGAAATTTGAGCTCCTGGTTGTAGATGTGTCCATAAACCAGAATACACATTGTTACTGGGATTTACCACCCCCCTGCTGCCATGGCGGATGCTATTGGTGCTCTAACTGAGTCTTTAACACCTTTTCTGTTCTCAGAGTTGGTCATTTTAGGCTATTTGAATCTGGATTGGCTATCCCCGACCTCAGATCAATTTAAGAGTATATGCATTGATTTCAATCTGACTCAATTGATCTCAAAGTATTTGCATATGATCTCAGTGATCATTGTCCCATACATAGTATGTATTAGAGATATGAAACAGCAAAATAGTAATCCTGGTTTAATTAAGAAGAGAAATTGTAAAATGTTCTACTCTGATTTAGCCACCGTCTCCTGTATTCCTAACGCTGCGTTGGCTCTAGAAAATGTATCCTCCATATTTATTCCTCTGGCAGATAAACACACCTCTTTTAAACAATTTAGAGTCAATGATATATCTAACCCTTGGTTTTCTTCTGAGTTATCTGAGCTCATTCAGATGAGAAATCAGGCCTGGGTTGAAGCAAGGAAGGAAAACTGACTCTATAGTGGACCGGCAATCTTTCAGACAATTGAGAAATAGATTATCTCGATTAAGAAAGCTAAATCAAGCGACTTCTTAAGAACCCAGGGCCAACCGCACCAGCATATGGTCTCACAAGGGGTCTAAGGATCTCATCTCGGTACCTAATGGCAGT